GAGGAACCTAGGCTAAAATTCGCGAAATAGACCTTTTAAAATATTCTGCCCAGGCATTTAAATCCTTCTTTGCCAACACGGTCAAAGGCCCGCGTCCGCGAAGCACAAAAACGACTTAGAACAAAAACCTCTTACGCGAACGCGACAAGGCACTTGGGAACGCGATGCTTTAGCCAGGCGAACCTTCGCGAACGCGATGAGTAAATTCCACTGAAACTCAGCCTCTCGATTCCTTCTATGCGAACGCGACACCTATCCTACGAACGCGAGGCACCAAATCCTTAGCCCTTCGTGAACGGGGAGCTCCCATCGTGAACACGAAGGGTAAAATTCCTCTGCAATAGCTGAACAAAATCTGCAACTTTTTAACAACTTAAAATGATCCGTTGAGCATCCGAAACACCCCCGAAGCCCCCGGGTCCTCAACCAATGGAATCAACATATCCTAAACCTTATTCAAACTTGTACCAATCTTCAAAACACTTCAAACAACATGAAATCAACCCAAAACACATCGGATTCAAGCCTAAGTTTCTAAAATCTTCCGAATTCCGCTTTTGATCAAAAACCCAACCAAACCCCATCCGAATGACCTGAAATTTTGCACAAAAATTCCAAATGACATAACAGAACTACTGTAACTCTTGGAATTCCATTCCGGCCCTCGGATCAAAATCTCACTATCGAACCGGAAACTGTAAAAATTCAACTTTCGGCATTTCAAGCCTAAATTAGCTACGGACCTCCAAAACATAATCCGATCACGCCCCTAAGCCCAAAATCACCCAACGGAGCTAACAGAACCATCGAATTTCCATTCCGAGGCCGTCTTCATGCTGTTACGACTATGGTCAAATTTCCAAGACTTAAGCTCTCTTTTGGGGACTAAGTGTCCCAAAACTCTCCGAAACTCAAAACCGAACATACCGACAAATCAAAATAGCGGAAATAAACTTGGGAAAAGCAGTTAATAGGGGATCGGGGCGTAAATTCTAAAGACAACCGTTCGGGTCGCTACACAATCGTACCTGGGATTTGGTTCCATTACCTCAAGGAAAGAAGGCCATTGGTTATAGGTGGGTTTACAAGGTAAAACACAAAGCAGATGGGAGAATTGAAAGGTTCAAAGCAAGACTAGTAGTCAAGGGGTAAAAACATCATGCTGGTGTGGACTATACTAAAACTTTCTCACCAATTGTGAAGTTAACTACAGTTAGGGCTCTTATTGCCACCGCAGTAAAGAGGAAGTGGATCATTTATCAACTTAATGTCAATAACACTTTCCTCTATGGGTACTTGTATGAGGAATTCTATATGGAAATTCCCCCAAGCCTTGAGGTGACCACTCTAGGTGTTGTTTGTAGACTGAAAAAATCTCTCTATAGGTTGAAGCAAGCTAGTAGGCAATGGTATGCCAAGCTAGCCGAGGCATTATACTCCAGAGGCTATGTGCATTCCCTCCATGATTATTCCTTATTTTGCAAAGGAACATACTCCTCCACTATGTACATGCCTGTCTATGTTGATGATGTGGTTATCACAGGGACAAACATGGAGGAGGTCAATCAATTGAAAAGCTTCCTACATAACACCTTGAAAATCAAAGATCTGGGCAGATTACACTACTTTCTGGGCTTAGAGGTTCCTTATAAAACTGATGAGGTTCTCATGTCAAGAAAGGAAATTTGCTCTTGATCTCCTCAAAGAATATGATTATATGTCCTACAGTGGACTATCATCCCCCCTTGATCCCTCTGTTAAGTTGCAGGCTAAGGTTGGTGCTGTCTTGAATGACCCTACATATTATAGAAAGCTCATTGGAAAGCTGAACTTCCTTACTAATACCAGGTTGGACATTGCTTATGGAGTCCAACTCCTTACCCAATTTATGTAGGACCCCAGGGAACCTCATCTTAAGGCTGTTTTTCACTTGTTACGATATCCGAAAAGTGATCCTACACTAGGAATCTTCTTCTCTAATGATCCAGATTGCGCTATCCAGGCCTACTATGACTCTGACTAGGCTGCTTGTCCAGACTCCAGAAGGTCAGTCAGTGGCTACATAGTTCTCTTGGGAGATAGTCTCATAAGTTGGGTTCAAGAAACAAGAAATTGTCTCCCTTTCTTTAGTCGAGGTAGAATATAGATCTCTCCGAAAAGTTATTGGTGAAATCACTTGGTTGTGCAGATTACTTGAGGAGCTAGCTGTCCCAATTCTAAAGCCTGTCACTATTTTTTGTGATAGCCAATCAGCTCTCCATATAGCTAGAAATCCTGTTTTCCATGAATGGACCAAGCACATTGAGGTGGATTGTCATTTTGTACGAGCCAAACTTTAAGAAGGGTTGATCAATGACTCATGTTCCCACTCATTCTCAATTGGAAGACATCCTCACCAAAGCCTTGACTGGAGTTATGCATTGTGGGGTTCTCAGCAAGTTGTCAGTGCAGTCCTCATCTCCAACTTGACTGGGGGGAAGGGGGGTATTGAGCTTTATATATTTATGTATTAGTAGTGATTAGTTGTAACTAATACATTAGTTACAAGTAGTTGTGGCATGAGGTGAGACACACGTGTGTCTATATATACATGTACATATTTGGAATCTTCCACACATAATGTGAATATACAATACATTATCTGTAGCTCTCTTTCTCTCTCATCCGTTTTCATGGAGCTCATCACAGAACTCCAATGTTGCTCACCTTGAGCTCTCATCATCTTGACATAATGCCAACTTTTTACAATATGAGAAACTTAAACCACTAAATCTAAAAGACTAACTATTTGATTAAGTTTCTCATATTCTGAAATCCCATGATTTGAATGCCCGTTAGAGAGCACAAAATTAAAGCCAAACTAAACTTTCACAGGATTCGACAATCCATATTTTAGCTGCTAGTGAACTTTCTTCATTAGAATTTGGACAAGTTTTCATTTTTATTTGTTGCGGAAGATGTTTTCACGTTGCAACAAAGGGTTGCGTAGCAATTTCTGAAAAATCACATAACTCTAATGTACAACGCTGGATTTTTGCCTTTAAAACCTCTAAATTCCAGCATACAGTGCTAGATTTTTTCCAACTCCAGTATAGTGCACTAGGTTTTTACTTATCAAAGCTTCAAAATCTAGTATCGGCTGCTGGACTTATTTTGGGTTTTAGGTACGGTTAAATTTTTTCCAAATAATTTTTCATATGAAAAGAATGGCTAAATGCTAATAACATTTTAAATCTGGCGAAACTAATAGCAAAGATTAAAAGTGGTTACGCCAACTAATTTTTACGAATTCTTAACGCTCAAGGATCCAAGTCATGGTGAGGTGTCTTGACAGCAAAGCATAATATTCAAAGGATAGGCTAAGCTAATATACTGACAACAGTCATTTCCACTATGCATAATACTAGTAAAACTAATGTAACGACCCGAGCGGTCATTTTGAGCTCTAGTGTGTCGTTCGGCGGTTCGAGACCTTGAGTAGCTTCACTTCATATATTATGACTTGCATGTGTAGCTGGATTAGGTTTTCGGGAAGACCAGAGTTGGTTTGGAAGAATAATTCTTAATTCGGAAGCTTTAAGTTGGAAGAGTTGACCATGGTTTGACTTTTGGGTAAACGACCTCGGATCGGAGTTATGACGGTTCCGTTAGGTTCAGATGATGATTTTGGACTTAGGCGTATATCCGAATTTGGATTTGGAAGTCCGTAGGTTGATTTGATGCTTTTTGGCAAAATTTGGAAGATTGAAAAGGTTGATAGGTTTGACCGAGAGTGACTTTATTGATATCGGATACAGATTATGGTTCTGGGAGTTGGTATATGATCACGCCCAACTATGCCTCCTAAGAGGTCTAGCGGTCGTTGCAAATATAATCCGGTTTATAAGCCCGAAGTCGAATCCCACATGGCATTAACCTACTAATTACAACCACTAGTTTCACTTGAATTCAAGGACAACCTTCAGAAATATTAAATAACGATTTGAATGTTTACTAACTAAGAGCAAAGTAATTAAAATGTAGTAATTTATAACTAACAGAGCAAATATTGTGGACAAGATTTGGAAAGTCTAGGGTTATGATTTTCCCTATTGTCGAAATCATCCCCGCTACATTTCCTATAAATTCGCCTAAGTATTCTCTACCGATCATGAGTACTTTGGGTGTCGTAATTCTCTTCCAAGTAACTACCACAATTTACTAGAAGTATTCTTCCGAACTACGCTAGCTGGCACTTATTCACTGCTCATTAATATCACACCAAGGGTTCGTTATTCGTAGTCCCACCATTAAACTCTCTGTATTGATTCCTCCCATACGTTAAGAGTGATGTTGTTCAACAACTACCTAAATATGTACCTTTTTCATGCAATACACACTAAATAGGTACAGTCAATTGAGAGCTCTTCAATCAACCACAATTTAAACATAGTTGAACAAGTAGAGAAAAATCAACAAATCTATATTAAATGTAGTAGAAAATCATCCTCCAATAGGTTCCATCAAATCCTACAACAACAATATCAACAACAACAACGGCCTAGTGTAATCCCACAAGTGGTGTCTGGGGAGGGTAATGTGTACGCAGACCTTACCCCTACCCCGAGGGGCAGAGAGGCTATTTCCAGGAGACCCTCGGCTCAAGAAGGCGACAAAGAGACAATATATTAGTACCATCAATAGAATCCTAATAAAATAACAGCAATATAAGAAATACGAAATAGATGGAAAGTACAACAATAACCAGCAGATAAAGCCCTGCATCAGTAGATAACCACTAGCATCCTAAAACTAAATCCTAACTGGCTAGTCTCACTCTGGTGTGCCGTAGAAATATTCACAACTTCCTCCTAACCTACAACCGTAATGCTCGACCTCCACAATTCCCTGTCAAGGGCCATGTCCTCAGTAATTCTAAGTTGCGCCATGTCCTGCCTGATCAACTCTCCCTAATACTTTTTGGGCCGCCCTCTACCTCTCCTCATGCCCACCACAGCCAGTCACTCACACTTCCTCACCGGCGCATCAGTGCTCCTCCTCTGAATGTGCCCAAACCATCTGAGTCTTGCTTCCCGCATCTTTTTCTCCATAGGGGCCACGCCCACCTTCTCCCGAGTATCTTCATTCCTAATCCTATCCATCTTAGTATGCCCGCACATCTACCTCAACATCCTCATCTCTGCTACTTTCATCTTCTGGATGTATGAGTTCTTATCCTGCCAACACTTAGCCCCGTACTACATGGCAGGCCTAACCACTGCTCTATAAACTTACCTTTTAGTAACAGTGTCACTTTCTTGTCACACAGGACTCCTGACGCTAACCTCCACTTTATCCACCCCACCCCTATACGGTGTGTGACATCCTCGTCGATCTCCCCAATCCCCAGAATAACCGACCCAAGGCAGTTGAAACTACCCCCCTCTTGGGATTGACTTGAGAGTCAAGCCTCACGTCCACTCCCGCTTTCGTCGGCTCGACGCCAAATTTGCACTCGAGGTACTCCATCTTAGTCCTGCTCAACTTGAAACCCTTAGACTCAAGGGCATGTCTCCAAGCCTCCATCCTCTCATTGACGCCGCCTCGTGTCTCATCAATCAGAACAATGTCATCAGCCAATAGCATACACCATGGCACCTCCCCTTGAATATGATGAGTTAGTGCATCCATCACCAGGGCAAATAGGAATGGGCTGAGCGCAGACCCTTGGTGCAACCTCATAACAACCAGAAAATGCTCTGAGTCGCCTCCTACTGTCCTGACCCGAGTCTTAGCTCCATCATACATGTCTTTAATCACCCTAATGTAGGCAATCAGAACCCCTTTAGCCTCTAAGCAGCTCCATAGGACCTCCCTAGGAACCCTGTCGTACGCTTTCTCTAGATCAATAAACACCATGTGGAGATCCTTCTTCCTATCCCTGTACTGTTCCACCATCCTCCTAATAAGGTGGATAGTTTCTGTGGTAAAACACTCCGTATGAACCCGAATGGTTGTCTGAAATAGACACCGACTTCCGCTCTCATTTCTACCACTCTCTCCCAAACTTTCATGGTATGACTCAGTAATTTGATACCCCTATAATTGTTACAACTCTGGATATCGCCTTTCTTCTTATACAACGGAACCATTGTACTCCACCTCGACTTTTCAGGCATCCTATTCGTCTTGAATATAACTTTAAACAACCCAGTCAGCCATTCCAAGCCTGCTCTACCCACACACCTCCAAAGTTCAATCGGAATTTCATCTGGCCCGGTAGCTCTGCCCCTACTCATCTTACGCATTGCCTCCATGACCTCCTCGACCTCAATTTGCCTACAATAACTAAAGTCATAGGGACTGTCGGCATTCCTCAATTCACCTAGTACAACATCCTGATCCCCTTCTTCAATTAGAAGTTTATGAAAGTAGGTCTGCCACCTCCTCTTAATCTGGTCATCCCCCATCAAAACTTTGCCGTCCTCATTTTTTATGCACCTCACTTGGTCCAGATCCTGAGCCCTCCTCTCTCTCGCCTTAGCCAGCTGGAATAACTTCTTCTCCCCGCCTTTGTTCCCCAGTTCCTCATACAGATGAGCAAAAGCCTCAGTCTTAGACTCCATGACTGCCATCTTCGCCTCCTTCCTAGCTACCTTATACCTCTCACTGTTCGCTCTCATTTACTCCCCGCTAGTGCTCCCTACTAACCGCAGGTAAGCCGCCTTCTTCGCTTCTACTTTACCTTGGACAACTGCATTCCACCACCAGTCTTCTTTATGGCCACCGGTGCGGCCCGAAGATATCCCTAACACCTCTCTCGCGCCACTTTTCTTATACAGTCCGCCGTCGTTGACCACATAGTATTTGCGTCCCCACTACTCCTCCAAGCTCCCATATCCGATAACCTTCCTTCCAACTCCTGAGCTTTATCCTTAGTCAAGGCACCCCACCTGATCCTCGGACGACCTCAAACTGACCTCTTCTTCCTCCTATTTATAATACCAATGTCCATCACCAAAAGCCTATGCTGCATTGCGAGGGTATCACCTGGGATAACTTTGCAGTCCTCGCACAACCTTCCGTCACATCTCCTGAGGAGGAGATAGTCAATCTGAGTCTTCGCCACCGAACTTTGGAAAGTAACCAAATGCTCATCCCGCTTCGGGAAACTTGAGTTCGCAATCACTAGCTCGAATGCCTTGGCGAAGTCCAACAGCGAAGTGCCCCCTCCATTTCGCTCCCCAAAACCGAAGCCGCCATGCACCTCAGTATAACCACCTGCAGACGACCCAATATGACCATTGAAATCTCCTCCTATGAATAACCTCTCGGTAGGCGGAATGCTACGCATGATCTCATCCAACCCCTCCCAAAAGCGCCTTTTAATCTCCTCATCCAAGCCTGCTTGCGGCACGTACGCGCTAACGACATTTAAAGTACACTCACCCACCACTAACTTAATAGTCATTAATCTATCATTCACCCGCCTAACCTCTACCACCGATTCTCTGAGATGCCTATCTACCAAGATACCCTCTCCATTCTTACCCCTACCACAACTTATATCCATCCGCGTCCTTCGCCCTCGATCCGGCCCACCTAGTCTCCTGGACACACGCTATATTAATCTTCCTCTTCTGAAGGATCTTTGCCAACTCTATAGACTTACTCGTTAGTTAACCTATGTTCCATGACCCGATTCTCAACCTATAGGCTCCCTTGCCCCCTCTACCTCCCCCGCCTCCCGTCCTACCCCTGGCCCCCGCCCCACACTCTGCCCCACCCGAGGACATGCCCTTACTCTATCATCCCAGACTACAACCACCACACCTACAACAAGCTAAAGAGGACTCGCTAGCGCACAATGGTCAGCAAACCAAACTAGAAGGAAACAAGTAACTACTAGCACACTAGTTGTATGATTGAAATATTGTGAACTAAAGTGGCATCAATTTGGCTAACACCAAAAGGGAAACAGTAAAACAGGAGGTGCCAACTCCCGAGAACAGAACCTGTGATTGATTTGCTGTACTCAATGTTGTTGCACGCTCACGTCCAGGTTCCCACTGCCCTTTGCTGACACTCGCCCAGGCTGCTCTCCTTTGCTAGTGCTTGTGCGCCCATCTAGTCTCCAACAACTCCGAGAATTTCCCTGAAAAACATAGAAAATACCACGTACCAAAAACCAAAAAGGGGGCTGTCACCGCTACCACTGGTGTAGCCCCGACAGTAGCAAGGGAAATGGAGGGAAAAAGCAGAGAAAGGGATGAGAAGGGCAAAACGAAGAGAAACGAGAAGGGAGATATGGGTATAAATAACTGGGGTGGGGTGGGGGGTGCTGGCTGACAACTAAAAGAAGAAGAGAAGGGAGGGAGAAAAGGGTCGCCTGAAATTGCTTACAACGACGCGGTTGCTGGGTGACCACCACAAATATGGCGGGGGTAGGGGAGGAGGAGGGGAGGGGGTGGAGATGGGGATAAGAGGCAGGAAAGATGGGGGGTGGGGGTGGGGGTGGCTTACCTGCCTGGGGTAGGGTTGCCGGCGTTGCTGCTGGTCGCTGGTGGAGTTGTCAGTGACCTTAGTCATAGAAGAAGGGGAGCGTCAAAGAGAGAGAAAGGGGAGATAGAGAGAAAGGGACAACTCGTAAATGTATCAACAATCATCATGATGTTTAAAGATATTAAACTGCAAAGTAAGGAGATAAATGGAGGGACAACTCGTTTGATTCTTGATCCACAGTGCTCCGTAGCCTTTTTCTTCTCCAAAATAGTGTCCAACCCTTTCTCAACTTGTTTGGGGAGTATTTATATGTTAGGGCCGAAATCCTTCAATCCGAATCCGGGTTGGAATCGTTTAACCCGCGACATTTAATTACTGGGATATAGACCTTGCGAGGTCAGGCTTATAGTGCGGTCAGTCTGGCTATCGAGCTGGCTACGCCTGAACTATAGAGCGGTCAAGCTGGCTCTAAAGCTGGCTTTACTTGGTCTGTAGCATGGTAAGGCAGGCTATAGAGCTGGCTTTACTTGGTCTCTAGCACGGTTTGGGTACTTGATGCTTTTGTGCTCTTTTCTTGCTTTTTTGTCCTCTTTTTTTGTGTGCAACTTTCATTCGACTCTTTCTTCCGATGCTCGTACATATAAAACAACACAATTTAGCTCAAATGTCGTACAATTAATCGCTAAGCAAAATATAGGGCGAGTAATGTACTAAAAGTATAGCATTTTGTCCGGACATCACCACCCCACACTTAAACATTACTCGTCCTCGAGTCAACCACCAGTTCACATTAACCTAGAGCACTTTATTTTTTTTAGCACATCCAAAGCAACAATTAAACTTTAGCATATGCCTTCAACATACACTTCCCTTTACTTTATGCCATACTTCAAAAATTTATTCAACACAAGGAAACATGTTTATAACAATCTTAGCCTCACAAACCGACTCAATATCACAATGCATTCATGGCTTGAACACTTAACGTCATAGAGAAATCTAATAACGTCAGCTATCCCCTGCGAAATCATGTGCCCTCACAACAAGAATAAAAAAGTAAGTCGAATCCACACACTCGAAAATGTTCAAATATATTTCAAGGACTAAGATAAATCAGAGAAATTCCTCACTCTCACAACGAGGTCACATGGATGCACAAAGTACCATTGGCTTTCCCATTATGTAAACCTCTACTAATGTAGGCTTGCTCGATCTAAAATAAATTAGGACTTTTTATGGTTGTAATGTTAGCTAAAGGGCGGGTAGGATAAATTTAGAAATAGTGACTAACCCTCCAAAGCATTTTAACACATCACAAAATAAACTTTAAGCACATTTTTCTTCAACCCAACTGCAATTTCACAATCAATATCATCCCCAAAGTATTTCCTCTTTCTTTAAGCACTACTTTAATTCATACCCACTAGCAAGTTCAAGATATGCTTATTTTACTTTGCTACATTTTTCTTTCTTTATTTTCAACCATAACTTCCTTTTTTCCCTACCATTTCTACTAGTGGTGTAATCCTTACCATACAAGTGTACCTTTCTTTCTTTCATTGGTTCCACTCAAAAGCCACCCAAGTTACCTCCTTACTTCTTTTAGCGCTCATTTTTAAATTAAAGTTCTTTAAGATGTAAAAGGATCAAAACAATGATAATTAAGAACAAAGGGGTGTAGGCTTGTAATGTGGTTATCAAATAAAAATTTATAGGCTCAAAAAGGTTGACTACGAATAATTTTTTATTTGTGCTAAGCATTAAGCTCAAACAAATCAAAGATATCATAAAATCATTTTTCAAACCGAGGAAAACCTAAAATTCGCTTCAACTCACATGCCGGGCAAGTTTGTAAGGCCACGTAAAATTTCGCCAAGGAATTCAAGTTTTGTGGTGCCGAGGTAGAGTAATGTGTATGAAAGTAGTAGGTATGGACTTTTTGGGTTGAAGAATGCATCGAGGTGCTGGTGAATTTTTTTTGCTGAAGGGTCAATTATGCGGTCAGATTCTCGACCACAGATCCATTTTGCGGGCTGCATATCCGTCACAGAGTTGAGCATAAAAATGGTTGAATTTTGAAGGTTGTTCTGCGGTCCATTATGCGATCGAATAGTTGTTTTTCGGTCCGCACATCCGTCGCAGATTTTGTATGAAGAATTTTGTTGGGTGATTGCAGTCAATTCTGCAGCTGCATAACTGGTCTGTGGACCGTAGACCTGGCCACAAACCTATCCAGACCATTCCAATTTTTGGCATCCCTTTTGCAGTCCATTTTGCGGGCCGCATATCTGTTCTGCGGTCCATTCTGCGACCGCAGACCTGAGTTTGGAGGGTCCATTTTTTTTATTTTTATAACCCGACCTCATTTTGATAAATAGCCTTTGAGCTCATTTTGAAGCGAACGTCTGATGATTTTAGAGAGATGTAAGAGTATTTTAGAGAGACACGGAGATGCATTCTAATCACCCATTCTTGCACCAATCTTCAAGAATCATGGATGCCACTCACTAGACCACCATCTATCCAGGTAAGTTCTTGTCCTGCATCGCCTATGCAAGTTATTTTAAGGTCTAAGAATATTGTGAGGTTGGAAATAGTCCATGCATGTGACAGTAGATTGTAGTATGTGAGGTTAATGAACTATTTTGGGTAGTTTCTTGTTGAAATTGGTTGAGGAAGGAAGGAATTACCATGGTAGAGCCTTATAGTCTATTTTATATGATAGGTGTTTGTCAAATTTCCTAAGAGAGTTACACCACGAGAATCCTTCTATTTGTTATTCGATTTTCGCTATCTTCCTATAGATTGATATTGCTAGAAGTGTTGGGACATTGTAGTAACTTAAGAAAAGCTCAAACAAGGTATGTTGGCTAAACTTATCTCTTGGAATCAAATTTTATGATGTTCCCATAAGTTTCAAGTATGGTTGGCCCAAGTTCCTAATTCCCATGTTCCGAGTTATCCCGTATAAATGTTACTATTCCAAATAAACTTGTGTTGAAAGATATGTACTAGAAATGTGTACTGAATGCTCCTATCGTATTGTACCCTCCGGAAAAGTATTCAAATGTGACTAATGCGTCGCAATATTATGATTTCAATCATGTTTTAATTGCAAGTTGTTATGCCAAATTGTAGAAGAAAACTCAATGTGCTAGGATTCTTATTGTTCATATACATATCAAACCTCGGTTCCCAAATGTCCTTATTGTAGATAAACTATGACTATGTTGAGGGTGAAAGAACTGAGAGTGAGAGAAAATACGTGGCCATGGTTGTTGTAACTAGTGCATTTGATTTGAAGTCGTGTTTAAATCGTAAATCACCATGCTCTCCTTCATAAATATTTTCAATGTGATTTGAGTTCTTACATACTCAAGAGTTGAAATTGTGTATTGCTTTTTTGTGAAGAAGTATTTCAAAAAGATACAGTGTGTTACTTGTTTATGATTTTTAACTTGTGTTGTGGTTACAAGTCATTGTGTTCCATACTTTGGAAAGGAATTTATTGTGTTTAAAGCCTCCACTACCGATGAACTTAAAATTATGATTTTTGAAATATTCTATATGTGGATGTTTGTGATGATGATCATGGAAAGTCAAGAAATAAAAAATGTGGAATACGAAATACGGCCAACATGCCATGAATAAAGAATCATAAGTATCGCCAAGAGAGCCAAGGAAATAATGATGTTCTGAAAGGCTGAAAGTACTAATGAAGATATATATAATGTGAAAAGTTATGAGGTGAATATAAAATATATGTGTAATTTTATTTCCCTTGTGTGAAAACAAAAATGTTCTTTTTGGGAGTATCGTTAGTCACCGAGGAACGGTAGGTTGAAATAACCTAACCCCAAAACTGCACGTGCCGATGAAGGAGTGCCTTGTGATTATTCCCCTTATTTGGGATGAGATTGATATGATAACAATATTCCCCTTTATTGGGATGAGATGATTGCTAGAAAAGGGTGATGTCGATCCACACAACATTGTGGTCGGTCGGATCGTGATCGGACGACATGCCACATACATGGTGGTGATTGAGCTGGAAATTGTAACTGAAATTGT